TTTATATTATAATTGCACACGTGTTACATATGGCCTCTCTAGTGCATACTGCTCACTTTGCAGGGTATTAAGAAAGGCTGATTGCAGCAAATTTGCTTCGCGTGTTTTGTGGATTTTTTGCTACAAACTTTCTTTTTCTATGTGTGTGTGCGTGTGTGTTAGTATGTATTAATATGTGTTTTGGCGCGTGCTAGTATGTGTGTGTATGTGTATTGTATACTCTAGTGTGTGTGTCTGTGTGTGTGTGCTTTATGCATTGGTCACTTAACGCTGGCATTCAAATTTCGCCAGCAGCTCTCTGGCTATCTCTACCTCTCTCTATCCCTCTCTCTCTCTCTCTCTCTCTGTCTCTCTTTGCTGTGAATTGATAGCTGCAGCTGCTTTGATTTATTGCCTGCTGGCTGCCAGGACACGTGCATCAGGACACACAGCAACAACATATGACCACCAGGCCCATTGAGACTGATGATGGCCCGAGCCGTTGCCAAAGTAACTCAGTTGCAATCCCCACTCGAGATCAGCAGCCAAAACTAATCAAGGCAGCTGCTTCTACTCTTCTTCTTCTGCTTCTTCACCATCAGCTCGCTGCTGTTCAGTCACAATTTACGAGCTCCTCTTGACATTGAATGCTGGCCAAAGACGAAATAGCTGTGCGCACTTGTATGAAAAGTCAGGTAAAATCACACCTCTTTTTGAAAGGAATCCCGTTACGCCTAAGACAAGATTTTAGTCTATTTCATTTGAAGTTTCTTTGCCTTATTCTCAGTGTATGTGTGACTTGGAAACAACTTAAGTTGACACGGTAAGCCCAAAGTCAGAGCGCCAACAGGTTGCAGCAGTAGCTTATTCCACTTGAACTCCCATTGCGCCAATCAAGTTGTCTACATATAAAGCTCTGAGTTTTTTAAGTTCAACTTCCATACAATGCATACGTTGCAAGAGCTACATTCCCAATTTTGTCTGCAAGTTTACTCTCTCGTTATGAGTTTTATTTTATTGTCCCTACCTTCAGGGACAATTAGCATCATACTGAGCCATAGAGGCTGTTTACTCTGTCGCATTTATTGGCTTTATAGCGGGCGCCAAGTGAATAAGTTAGTTCATTTCATTTCATTTTAAATGTCCCATAGATGGCTCTCCTAGCGCAAACGCGTTGCGCCATCCATCGCCGTTTAATGTGCACTAAATTGACAAATCTATCGATAGATAACCATCGCCAGCCGCCACAACTATCGCCACGAAATAGAATCGATAGTGCAAATTTGAATGTCAACAGACTAAAACATTAAATTATCAGTACATAAATTTGAAAACGGCTATATTAGATCCGAGATAAATTTCAGATCTAATACTTTCACATAGGCATATTGTAAATACGTAGACAGATTATTCAACTTAATTATTTTCTAGCTCCGGTTTGCATGGTGCCGGTGATGGGGCTCCCGCACCTTCCTCAACTGTGGCACCACACAGCGACCCGCAAATAGAATGGCTTTACTATTGCGTATGAAGAAGACAAACGGATGATCAACCTTGAACTGCTTCTGGTGCATAATCATGCTCATGGGCACGATTTTAAGATCTGTGAAACAGACAATGATATAGACTACATATGTACCAAGAGAGAGTTATCTATATATGTCTTACAGGTAGCAGCTGCTGCCTCGCATCCCGCCTCGTTCACATCGATAAAGCCCCGATGCTTAACAGCTGAGATTTTCTGGCCTGTGGCGTCTTGGAAGAGTCGACTCAGATCTGCCGCCTTGCCAAACAGGTCACAAATGCCCAGCTATCAAAATAAAAGATAATGCAATAGATAAGCAACATAAATAGAGATGAGACATATGTGCATGATCTACCAGTTTGAGCGTCTCTGTTAGTTCCAAATCGAATTCGATGCAAAATTTGGGCAAAGTTATTTCCACATCCGCCAAGTGCATGCGCTGATCAAGATCCGCAAGCTCAACTAGGCTTAGCCGATGTTCCAGCTCAGGTAGGCTGCTGGTTTCATTGGGCAGCATTATGAGCAGCTTGATATCGGAATCTTCAAAGGGCAACTCAATGGCCCGCGCGTCCAGTTCAGGCAGCTCGACATATTTGAACTTATCCTCCTGATACATCATGTCCACCTCAACTCGTTTGTGCTGATCAATGTGGAAGTCGTGCCGCGTTGTGCACTCCGGTGTGAAGGGCTTCTTGAAAAGGCCCTTAAAGTACAGCACATTCACAAGCACGGCGCTTGTCTCCGCATCAACAGCATTTGGCTGGAGGAGATCTCGAATCTTGTGTTCCGTTGCCAGCTCGACCAGCTCGTTGATCTGCTGCGTGGCTCCAGTCGAATCGGCGAAATTCAATGCCACCGGCTTATAGTTGAAATACTCCTCCGCCATTTGGTTAAACTCCTGCTGCACGCGGAGCTTTTCATTCACAAACAAATGATTCACGGACTTCAGAGTTATCCGTTTGCCTTTGCTTTTGCTGCTCAGCTGCGTCCACAGCGCCTTATACCAGCTCCCGATCTCTTGCAGATCGCCGGGTCCCAGCCGCAAGCCCGTGCGCAGCTGCTCAGCCGTTCTGCCCGCGGCACCCACTAAGGCCAGCATTAGCGAGGTTTGTATTGAGATGGGCGAAATGACGGCATTGCAGTCGCGCCCCACGATACCCTTTTCAAATGCCGCCGTGTACAGCTGCCGGGCAAACTCACTGCATGCGTCTGGCGTCGGGCTCATCTTCCTCTGCTTACACAAACGAAAATGTAATAGAAACAACAAATTAAAGATTTCACGCTGAAGAACTTATACTTCGATAACGAAGATCTTAAGTCTGTATAATTGATTTCATTAATGCCATTTCGACTCACATTATAATAAATAATAATAAAACTGATTTACTGCATACAAATTCCGGTAAAATCGAAAGTGAGGCAACCCGATCAAGGGAACAGAATATTGAATAGCAGGCCCAACCGACTCGATAGGTAATACAGTAAAGACTAACCTGCATACAATATGAAGTGAGTCAGACATCAATTGTATTTCGCTATGAGAGATAAGATAAAACTGAATGCCTGAACAGTTAAAAGTAAGAGCAGACCGCCTGGCTATCTCTGAGCTCCTTTCGTCAGTATCTGCTCCTACTTAAAAGTGATCTCTAATAAACAACAAATTGAAAGGTTCATAAATTTAACTTCGCCTATCAATCAAAGAGCAACAGTTGGCTTAAAAAAGAGAGGGAGAGTGAGCAAACTTTTTAGCTATTTATTTTAGCACTTAACGGCAAATAATATGAAATGTAAGAGACAATACAATTTAAATAGCTGATAAGGCTCTCTTATTTTAGCGTGGTTTGTTTTGATTATCAATTCAAAGTGCCTATCAATGAGAGAGAGGGCGAATGAGGGTATATAGCTACAATATTCCAATTAAAAATTAAATTAAAAAAAAAAAAAAACATTGCCTTAAAATTGGGGTTTTTCTTTTAAATTGCTGCTTATCAGAATACATGTATGTATGTACATACTTACATATGTATATTATTATTGTTTTCAAAAGATTGCAAATAACACTCTTATTTTGACTTGAAGCTGCTGATAAGCATACAAATAAGATTATTAAGCATATTGTCTTTCAGTTTGAATCACACGTTCGTCGCGTCTGTGCGCCAAAAAACTTTTACGGTGCTACTTTAATACAAATCACAAGTCAATCATAGACCCACATACGCAATTAAAATGCAACAAGTTTCGATATTAAACGGTAAGTCAAATTAAATGTACGAACAAAAGCACCTTACTCATAAACAGAGAGTGTGCTGAAAGAGCATGACAAGTAGATGAAGTTAATAAAGAGCACGTTGTACGCAACAAGAGCAAAAGAAATAACGGACACGTTACATAAATATACATACATGCTTGCGCTGAGCTCACACAGTAGCTAGTGAGCGGGAGAGAGGTATAACTTACACACTTCATACTTTGCATATTTCCATACAAAAGTAGTAGAGAGTGAAATGCATATGTAGATATAACAATCTAAAAGCACTCACATACACATACATAAGCATGCAGTGGTGTATGTATACTAAGCAAAGCTCAGAGCGCTTGTATTTGAATGGGAAGAGAGGGAGTATGTATGTGCATATGTGGCAAACAGAAGTAGCAGAGAATAAAAAGCTTTTAGAGAGAAAAGCCGGCAATTGTGTGATGTGTTTCCTAACAAACTCATACATTTGAATGTAAACACGTATAAAAACAGCGCTTCGAACACTTGTGTTTAGATAGGGGAAAAGAGAGTCGTATCTATCACAGAGAGCAAGCGATATAGAGGGAGCACGTTAACTGATGAGTATCCAAAACACACTCACACATATACAGGTTTGTAAAAACAGCAAAGAACAGCGCGCTAGCCTTTAGTTGGTGCTCAGACGCCTACCTGTACAAACTAAGTGGAGGGTTGCCGCTCGTCACTGAGAAATCAAATAATTGGATAAATAAATCACACTTCGCAATTTAGAAAGCCGCAATCGCACAAGCCAAAAGCATTTGTCACTCGTATTTAGGCGAAAACAACAATTATCAAAACGGCTAAACAACACCAGCAAAACGTAGTGAACAACAAACGACGAGGTGACTCATCGACGATAGTGGGAATTACATAAAATTTTTAAACCATTCGCAGTTGATACATTATTGAATCTCTGACATCATTCACAATATTTTCAGGCTGCGTAAACTACTCGCTGTTGCTTTTGCTGTTCTTGCTGCCGAATTCGTTTGCCCAGCTCCATAATACACAAACGAAAATCATGGCCAACACAGAGGGAGGCAATCTGGCCGAGTTCTCCCAACGACTGGTCGAATTCTCTAACAACTTGTATGGCAATCTCATTGCACTGAAGCCCAACACGAATGTCGTCTTCTCGCCCTTCTCGATACAAACCTGCGCGGCCATGGCTCGCCTGGGGGCCGAGGGCGAAACAGCCGCCCAACTGGACCGCGGCCTTGGCTTGGTCTCCAGCGATCCTCAGCAAATAGCCGAGAGCTTCCACCAAGTGCTCGCCGAATACGAGAAGAGCTCCATATTGCGCATCGCCAATAAGATCTACGTGCAGCAGAACTACGAGCTGAATGACGACTTCAATCGGCTGCTCTCGAAACAGTTTCTGTCGGCGGCGGAGAACGTGGAGTTCGCGCAAAGCGTTAAGGCGGCGGGCATCATTAACGCGTGGGTGGAGCAGCAAACGAATAAGCTGATCAAGGATCTGGTGCAACCTAGCCTGCTGGACGCGCAGACGCGTCTGGTGCTGATCAATGCGATTCACTTCAAAGGCAACTGGGTGCACCAGTTTCCGGAGCACGCGACGCGCAGTGAGAGATTCCATTTGAATGAGGTCGAGGGCGTGGAGGTGCCCATGATGAATGTGAAGGAGCGCTTTCGCTATGCCAACCTGCCTGAACTGAACGCCGCCGCCTTGGAGCTGCCCTACAAGGACTCCGATCTGTCCATGCTAATCCTGTTGCCCAACAGCAAGACGGGCTTGCCGCAACTGGAGCAGCAGCTACGCGGCACGCCCCTCTCCAAGATCACCGAGCAGCTGCAGAGCAACCAAGTGGTTGTCAAGCTGCCCAAATTCAAAGCCGAATTCCAGGTGGAGCTGACATCCGTCTTCAAGCAGGTGAGCAGGTGACTTCTGTCCTGGAGCGTATGTGTGTATGTCATCGCCTCGTCTACTTGCAGCTGGGCATGACGCGCCTCTTCTCCAACCAGGCCGAGTTCGGCAAGATGTTGAAGAGCCCCGAGGAATTGAAGGTCTCGGCTATCATACACAAGGCCTTCATCGATGTCAATGAGCTGGGCACCGAGGCAGCCGCGGCAACGGGTAAGTTGAGCCACTCTTCTATGGGCCTCTCCTTGTGCATCCTCATCCTCCGTACCAACCATTCCACACCTCGTCTGCGTCTCTATGTCTCTCATTCTGTCTGTTCTCATTGCTAGCCGCCGTGGTGCGCATGAAGCGAAGTGTCATTTCGATTGAACAGCCGATCCAGTTCCATGCCGATCATCCATTCATCTTTATGCTGAACCACAGGGAGCAGCTGCCCCTCTTTCTGGGCGCCGTCGTTCGACTTGATGCCGCAGCAACAACGACAACGACAGCCACAGCCACAGCCCAGCACGACGAGCTTTAGCAAGGGTATTAGCGAGGTCAACGAGCAGAAGCTACAATTAGATTTAGAATTATTTAGAAATCTTTACGGGTATTTTTTGTCAAGTTAATAAAGGGCGTTTCCCATGTACCAATCGAAACTCTCTCTCTCTCTCTCGCTCGCTCTCTATCTCTAACTCTGCCTCCTTCACTATCCCCCCTTCTGTTCACTTATCTAATCAAGACTTTTTAAATTGTAAATTAATGTTCAATTGGCTTATAAATCTCATTAATACCCTAGCTACCGTTAGAATAAAATGTTGTTTATATCTAATCTATTAAATAGATGATAAACTTTGTACATTTTCCGTTAGTTCAAGTCATAGAGCGCACTAAACCCTCTATATATAGCTTTTATTTAGTTTATATACAGAATTACAATCATAATATTTCTATGAAGTCTATCATAATTCATTCTAAATTCTTTCTTGTCTAGTCTCTGATCTAATAATATGAACTGCACTTAATATCAATAATACTATATAATACTCTATAAGCTTCTTCTCTTAGCTATCATTAGCCTAAGTCTATTCTTCTTCTACGTCCCTTATCTCTTTCTCATATCATCTCTCATCGTATCTACGCTTTTTTCTCCCATATGGGGCCTTAACTATCTGTTCTGTTGTCTTTAATCTTCTCATTTTGGACAGCTATCATCATGTGTCGTCTCACATCTTGTATGTTCGAGCCACCGCCCATTGAGTTCCATGTGAACCGTCCATTTATCTATTATATAGTCAATAGAAAGGGCGTGGCGCTCTTTGCGGGCAAAGGGCAACAATTTTAATTAGATAATATCTATATGTATATATTGTACAACTTTTGTAAGCACCATCAGATATTTGTATTACTGCATGCTTTAATAAAGTTTATAAAGTGGAACATTCCAATTAATCGGGTTATACTCTTGACCCCCACATCGACCTCATAAGTAGCCCCGCATTTATTCTATATTCCTTTTAATCTTACTTCAATCCAATTTGCTTTGTCTTCTCATTCATTCGTATAGCTCTTCTAGTCATGTGTGACATGATGATCATCGAACCGGATCCCATCTATTTTGATGCCGATCATCCATTCCTCTATTACATAGTCAATAAGGATGCTGCGCCGCTTTTCGCTGGCAAAATTCAAACATTTTAAGAATATTTATTTCTCAAGAATTTCCGATTTCATTTAAGATTTTCTTTTCTATATGATATGATCTTGTTAAAATGTTTTTGATTAGCTCTTTATTTGATATTCCGTAATAAACTACTTTCTATGCAGATTAGTGTGATCTTTTCCTTGTTTACTTCTCTTAGACTCAGTCTACTAGTATCAATCAGTATCAATCGCCATCAGACAACATCCATCAGCTTGCATAACAACTCCAATATCATCTCAGACTTGGACTAATCGTGTGTGTTTTTTGTTCTTGTCTTCCGTTATGTCTTCTTCTTTACTTATAGCTATGGTCATGTGCTATGCTTCGATGCCCATGTTCCAGCCGGAACCCATCCGATTCCATGCCGATCATCCATTTATATATTACATTGCCAACAGGCGGGGCGCGATTCTCTTTGCTGGCAAGTTCGCCAGACCTTGAACAGCATCTTCGATCTCTACAACCATCGTAAAAACCAAATGAAACATTTCGAATTTAAGACTGCGCACGATGACAATTTATGGCACTAAAAACTCTTTTTATACTAATCCAAGCATGTTTTATAATAAACAATTAACTATCCATATAAGTGGGTCGATATATATGTGTACATACGTATATCTAAGGGCATTTGTACGGCTTGTTCACAGTGTTTCGCATCATGCCCGTAATGGCAATCCGACGCAAGAGATTCTTTGCCACACATCCATTCCTCTACCTGATCAAGTCGCAACGCAATCTGATACTCTTTGCCGGCAAGCATTTGGGATGAATAATACTTTGGAAAAATAAATAGAAATATTTTTATACTAGTATAAAATAAATGGAAATATGAAAGCCAACAAAAAAATGTGTTTGATTGATGAGCCACTTAGAGCTGAATGCCTTATGCATGCGGGGGCTACATAGATATGTTGAGTGATTGATGGAATGATTGATGAATATACCCTTAAGCCTTGTACGAATGAAAACTGAATATAAAGATTAGTGTATATTCCTCTTATGTGTAATGATTGAAGGCTTGATTGATGAACAAGACAAGGCTGCTAGATTATAGTATGTGCAATGGTATGATATGTTATTTGGAGTATAGCTGAAGATTATTTGTGATAAAGCGTCTAGCTGATTGATGGACTGACTGACTCTGATGGACAGTTGCACTCTCAGGTCAATCGGTAAAAGATGCAAAGCTGAAAAGTAGAGATTTTGATTGAGCAATTGATTGTCTTAAATTTCTAGGAAATCAAACAAGCAACGAAACTTGTTGAAAGGTCAAGTTTCTACAAATTGTAAGCAATTTCTGTAATACAATTTTTTTAAGTCTTAACATCTCTAAAGGGGTGGACTTTGATAACATGTATATAATATATTTCATTGATATTTTATTTTATTTTTTCTTTTGTGAAAAAGCTATTGAAGCGTTGCAATGCGGCACGCAATTGCACGATTTGATAAAGTGCAAAAGTTGTGGAAAATGTTTCAGTAGGTCTTAAAACGCATATCAAGATGCATTTCTTGATTTTCAGTGCTTTGCTCTGCATTTGCAGTTGCAGCTGGGCCAATGGGTCGGATACGCAATTCAATTGTAAGTTTAGTCAGGAATGTGCAAGGCTCCGCTTTTGACTCCGGCGCTATTTCTCAGTAACCCTCTACAGGCAAATGCCCCCCTTACATCAGCTGGACGACTACGATCTGTGCCTGCAGCAGCGGCCGAGTCAGCTGCTGGCCCACAGCACCTATTGCCTGGTCTACGTGGAGCTGAGGCCCAATGGCAGCTCCGAGCTGTGGCAGCAGATCGAGCGGGTGTCTAGGGATGCGAAGCATCACTACAGACACGACCATCTCTTCGTGGGCGTCTGCGTGGAGCGCTGCAAGCGCTTGCTGCACACGTTGGCCAGATTTCAGATACAGCAGCTATACGAGGGCAAGGTCGAGGATCAGGAAGTAAGTGGAATGACCTTGAGACTTACTCCCAGCTCCTATTGATCAGCTGAACTATTAGCTCAGCAGCCACTATGCCAAGGTGCACCGCAGACCATCCGACGAGCGCCTGCACTACGATCACCTGATCAACAGCTGCCTGAACAAGGAGCTCGGCTCAAAGTATCAGCTGCGCCTGCGCAGCAGCATTGAGTACTGCGARCGAGCGAATGAGCCATTGGAGCACGGTAAGCAAGAGCAATGACATTTTTTGAGATTCTGATTAATAAAAAAAAAAAATAATAATAATAACTATTGTTAAGAAACACTAAAAAAAAAAATTTTTTTTTATATATATAAAGTAATATATTCCCTATAAGATATCAATCATAATCATGCCATCATTCAGACCTCTTGCCAAAACGTCTCACCCACTTTAAGTATTTATTAAATACCTTTTAATAAAAATCAAATCCATTTCAGATGCTCTCGATGTGACGGTCTATGCGCTGCTCGCTCTGCTGCTGCTATTGACCATAGTCTCGTCCAGCTACGATTTCAGCTTGAAGCGCAGGCAGCCGCTGACGAACGCTGCGCGTGGGAATCTCTTCTATCAGCAGGCGCTCAAGACAAGAGGTGGGCACAGATCTATATATCTGAATGTATAGAAAGAAAGCGAGAGATTATAATCCCTAAGTGTGGCTCCTTCTACTCGCCAACAGCTCAACAATTTCTGTGCTGCTTCTCGCTCTGCCGCAACTATTATCGCCTCATTCAGCCCCCGAGCAGCGATTTCTCGCGCGATCTGCGTTTTTTCGATGCATTCCGTGTGATTGGAGTATTTGTCGTAATCCTGGGACACACTTTGATGATCTTTATGACGCTGCAGCTGCAGAATCCCGAGTTCTTTGAGCTCTATCTGTACAGATTCGAGACGTCCTTGTTTCAGAATGGAAACGCAGTCATCCAAATATTTTTCGTAATGAGCGCTTTCTTGCTCTACGTCAACTTTACGGAGAGAGAGTGGATCAATAACTCCTCCAGTGTTTTCAGCTGCATCGGAGTTTACTTTCGCGTATTTTTCAATAGGTATTTCCGACTGTTGCCCTCGTTAGTTCTACTGATACTCTTCAATGGATCCGTTCTGACTCGTCTGGGCGATGGTCCCTTCTGGCGGCACCTGACAGAGGCGGAGAGAACTTTTTGCCGAGAAACCTGGTGGAAGAACGTATTCTTTGTTAACAACTATATGCTGCAAGAGAGTGTAGGTATTACACTTAGAGAAAAACCTTGATTGATTCAAGAACTACACAGTTATTTTCCTTAATATGCATTTATTCCAGTGCGCTCAGCAAACCTGGTATATGGCAGCCGATATGCAGCTCTTTGAGCTGTTTCTAATAATTATTATTATTACAAAAAAGTAAGTTGATTTTCATTATGGAGAGCATACTTTTGGAACTACCGTCTTGCAGGCATCCAGCATTAACCAGATACATCTATGCATTGCTAATTATCGCCATATTCGCTGTGCCTGCTTCGATCACATATTATCTAAGCCTGGATGCAGTCTATCACATGAAGCCAGAGTGAGTTGCATAGGAGATAACCTAAAATATATATTATCAATTTTTCATATACATATATTTTTTTAACAGAACCTATCGTTATTTATATTTTCGAAATTCGGAGACGTTCGACCGGATATACCCCCCTTTCTACACAAATTTGGGCGGGTATTTCATGGGCTTTCTCTGTGCCCAATTCTACTTGAAATTTCGACCTTTGCCAGAGGCAAAGAGCTCGAAAGGCAAATGGCAACTGGAACTAGGCCTGTGGGTCTTAGTTTTGGCTATTCTCCTTATTCTCTTCTCTGGCTATATATTCATAAAATTCGATTTTGAAAAACCTTCCATCTGGCTGGCTCTCTATGCGGGCGTCTATAAGAATTTGTGGATTCTAACCTGTGCGGGATTTGTGTCTTGCATGTGCTTCAAAGTGGGCTGTAAGTGAAGAAGACTTTTCTCTTTTAATTTTGACACTCTCTTAATACTGACTTTTCTCTGCTTTCCTTTGCTCCTTGCAGGGCTGGCGTATGAGTTTTGCTCTCTTTCTGTGTTTCGACCTCTGGCGCGCATCTCCTTTCAAGCGTTTCTTTGGCATGTTTTTGTTCTACGGGTTGTCGCTGGCTCTTTCCGACAACCTGTTTATGTAAACAGTTTCTTTTTGGTATGTTTCTATTACTAACATACAGAATTCTATTTTAATTTGTTTTCCTTTCAGTTTCAATATGTTGTTCTGGTGTTTGTACTTACGCAAATTGTTGCTTTCTTTATGGCGCTCCTATTCGAATATCCGCTGATAGAGCTATTTAAACTGATCATGATGCACCACAATACATCAAAACAAACAACAAGCAGTTTTCAAATCGATATGAATGCACGTTAGAGTCAATTTTAAATAAGTTTTGCTTTAATTCATTGGAATAATCAAAAATTAAATAATAATAGCAAGCATATATTTTTGTTGGTACTATGGTCACTCTATTTTATTTAAATTTCAAATAATGTTAAGTATTAAATAGTTAGGGTGACCAGTGGCAAATTTTTTATTATGTATTGTAGTATTTGGTATTTTATGACTTGCATGGCTGTTGTATTATTCCACTCTGCTAACTGCGGTCACACTGTCTGGTTGTTCAGTTTTGTTTTCTCTCGTCTCGCTCGTCGGCGTTTTGCTACGTTTCGTCTGCTCGGTGTTACCGCAAATTCTTGAAACAGTTCACAACAACAAAAGTGCGAAATTTCAAATTTCTCCAATACTCAATATACAACAAGTGCACAAGTGCCCTAGCATAAATGCTAAATTAATGTGAGTGTTTAAAATTTGTGTGTGTGGGAATATTTTATTTTGGTGGAATTTCTGTTCTGCGGCAACTTTGGCATTTCAAATACAAATGTCAATGAATCATTGTGGCACTTTGTATAGCTAACCATCAAGTGGCTGCCATTTGATTTAATTTATTAATCATTAATCAAGTAATTTACTAATAAGCTTACATTTAAATAATGTACGCGCGTATTACAAAATCATTCAAAATCACGGCAAATAAAATAAGTGCGACAATTGTGATAGTATGCGTGTGTTTGTCTGCATGGGTGTGTGTGCATGTGTGAGTATGTGTTCATGTGTGAGTTGCCCGCGCGCTTGTGTACGTGTGCGTGTGCTGAGTGGTGAGCGCAATGCATGTGAAGAGTGCAGCTATAAAATGTTGCCACATGCGCTCCCGCTCCCACACAGTGTTATATGAGTCGCAACACTCCAAAAAAGGGAATAAAAATGAGAAGCGTCTTGGACAGCGCCAACAACAAAAAGACCGAACGCCGAAAAATGTTGCAAAATGAAAGAAAAGCAAACAAAACGAAAGCAAGCAAGCAAGCAAAAGATTTCTGCGTTTCTCGCCTCGCACACACAAAGACTCACACAAATACACTTATTTAAATTAATTGTTTTTTATTCTTTCGCCTTTAGCTGTAATTTTCGTGTGTGTTTTGCTGTGGTTGCCGTTGCCCGCTCTTTGCTCTCACATTTTCCGGCTAGCTTGTTTATAATATTCTGGTCAATAGCTGAGAGAGCGGCTGAAGCACAGAGCGAGAGAGAGTGAGAGAGAGAGAGACGAGAGAGTGCCCAATTGTTGCTCTGGAAGCAACAAGTTAAATTGAAAAACAGTTATATGCGCGGGGGTGTTCGAATGCGTGCAATTAGTTTGGGCAAGGAAATATACCCTGTAAGTTTGCAGAGTGAAAAAATTAGATTTATAACAAATTTCTGAAAATATATAGAACATATACCATGAGAGTTGTGACCAATGTAAAAAGTCTTAGAGCTATATTGGGAATTAGCATCCAATTTTTGTACAATATCAATCAAAGTTTGTCTGTAGGGTAACCGATAGTCAGGCAATCTCACCTAAAGAACTCTTTAACTGGTTTTAACTGTGGGCGCATGCGATAAGCCGTAATTGAAATATTGTGGCAAGAAACGTGGCTTCAAGTTGGCCAAAGCGTAGAATTACACACATTTCCAGCAGACATACAGGCAGTCTCTTTCGCTCTTTATGTGAGTGCGTTTGTATGTGGGACTGTATGGGTATGTGTATGTGTGTGCGTGTGTGAAACAAGTGTGAAAAACAAACGACCTCCAGCAGCGCACGTCTGCGTCTGCGTCTGCGTTTACGTCTGTGGCGCTCTCTTAGAAAGTGTAAGAGCGCGTGCGAGCACGCCCCCCACGCATAGCTGTTGTCGCTGTAGTTGTTGTTGTGGCTGCTGGCAGGCGTTGTCCAAAAATGGGTTAAGCAACGGCGGCGAAAAAAGCAAGAAACGCAGCAAACGCAGCAAACGCCAATTAGTGACAAAATATAAATGAGAAACGCATGCAGAGTGTACGTGCACGTGTGTGCGTGTGCAAAATATGTATGCAAATTAAATGACAGCTCACTCTGGGAAAAATTTGCAAATTTTAAGTCATAAAAACTTAGTTACGCAAATATATTCGATTAGCTCAATTGTCTAATCTTGTATATTTCAAAAATATTTTTTATCATAATAGAGTGGAGATGCCATGTAGCAAAAACCTTTTATTGAAAGCAGTCGTAGTAAAAATATTTTGTTGTTTGAGTAGGTCTTTGTTGTCCACAGTGCAGTGTCCAAATAGCAACAGCAACAGCAACAACAAATGCCGCCAGTCTGACTAAGCGTAAATGCGGCAGAAATAGCAACAAGTAGACGCGAAACGGAGAAGCGTCGTGCAATTAAGAGAGCAACAACAACAAGCAATGCATAGTTAAATTTAGCAGCCGAGTTCCACTTTCACTCGGCAGCGACACCGACACCCACCGATGTGCCCACCCTCCTCTCTCTCCTTTGCTCGTTCGCTCGTGTTTGAGTTGCATGTTATTTGTATTGAGTGCGTGCCGTGATTTTTGCGTTGGCACGAATGGAAATGAATATGCGTATAGATAAGTGTAAAACGCATAGCAAACTTGAAGCGAATTTGAATTGAATTGGTTAACTGCAGCAAGCAAAATGTAAGTTAACGATATTCTAATGGATGATGATGCATCATTTGAGTACTCGCCCTGTCACCACCACACAGCACACAGCACGCGCACATCTCTAGCGCTGACAAACGTTTGTCTCAGGGAAGACACTTGTGCGCTTTTTGTCAAGATTTAAGTTAATCGCAGAGGCAACGGGCAACATCGGCAGCAGCAGCGGCAGCAACAGCGACAGCGACAGCAGTTTGATGAACCTAAGTACAACAAGTCAGTCCAATCACGATGACGATGTATTTGCTGTTGTTGTTGCATGCCATTGGCAATTATAGTAATGCTTAATGACATCATCAGCCGCAGCGCAGCGCTGCAACGAACAGCAGCAGCTGCATTCGCAATATGCAAGCGAAAGTTTCCATGCGAGGACCGATGACTGATAAGCGCTGCACTTGCAGCTGCAGATGCTTATCAGGCAGTCGCAGTCGCGTCTGGCATTAATGATTCATTTGCCACCTACACAAATACATAAAACAAAACAATAATTATACACAGTAAGAAAATGTTAATGTGGCTTTAAATAAAACGGAATTGAATTRAATTCGCCGCACTTACAATGCAATTGCTTACTCACGGTTTGCTCGCATCTCTCTATCTCGCTCCTTTCTGTCATACAGGAAGCTTAAGAAAGAAGTAGTCAAATGACACTAGGCGAATTCATGGCTAATATTTATATTTTAGTTCATTTGCTCTCGCTCTCCCTCTCTTAATTTTGCCAGTGAGCTTATACAGGAAGTTTATGTAAGGAAAGGAGTGGTCTAGTGGCAAGGCATGCGCCTCGTAAACGAGTCTATGCTGATTCGATTCCCGCCAGCTGTTTATATTGTTATAAAGCATTAATTAAAAGCTTTTACATTTTTTTTTTCAATTTATTTTATTTGTACTGTGTAGCATATGTACATATGTATTATTGTCATTGTTATTGTTAGTGCAATTGTTATTTATGTGTTGCTTATGACACATTCACACCGCCCGTTGTCATCTAATTAGATGTTCGGCTTTATAACGGGCTGCATTAGCATTGTGCAGCAGCCAATTGGAGCGGCACTCCTTTGCGCTCTGGCTGGCCCCACTTGCCAGTTGCCACTTCATCCATTGACCGCTTCGCGTTTGTCATTTCATTTCTTACACTCGCTTGCATAGCACAGTGAAATATTACAACAACGCTTAATTGACGACTGCGACTGTGCCGTTCCCTCTCTCGCTCTCTCTCACTCTCTTGATGCTCGCCCTTTTTGCGCTTTGGTTTTTTAAGTCACGCCGCCAAGCGGGGCAGCAAATGTTGTTAGCAATTAGAATTGGCCGCTGAACGTTTCGACAAAGCGTTAAGATTTGCAATCAAGCATTAAGTCAATTTGTGGCCACGTCGCTGTCGACGTCGCAGCCTCAGCAGCAGCAGCAGCAGCAGTAGCAGCGGCGCGTTACAATCATCAACTGATGAACCGATCAGCGGGCTGCATCGTAATGAGAAATGACCTGTGGTAGCTGTTGTAAGTGTAAACAGCATACAGTGCGTGACAGCAGTCAGGCTACTTTTACACAGAGGAGCTGCACTTACAACATATTGTTGCATTTATTTACACTCATATACAGATAAATTGATTTCCAAGTAAACTTTAAACTTTGATTATTTGTAGTTACAAAATATTGTATTATTTGCTTTTCCGCCAGCTTATCTAATCATTGGTTTTTTTTCTACCGTCAAACATTGGATTTGTTGTGATATCTATATATTAGAAAAATGATAGGCTGAAGGACAAGTAATTATGTGTAACCCAGCTGAACGTTAACTATTTGCAGTTAGTGTTGCTATGGCCTCGCTGTAGAATATACCTAATGTGTGCAATAACTGATCGCAGCTAGTGTTCAATAAACACTTGCTACAACAGAAGCCTCTCTTTAACTTCTTGTCACTCTTTATTTCTTTCTCTAAAACTTATTAATGAGAAATTTTCTTTTTGATGCATTAACTATTTGTGGCCACTGTTTGACAGTTGAGCTACTCAGCAATCTGAAGCCTCTCTCTTCTCACTTCTCTCTCTTCAACTACTTCCTCTCTTCTGTTCTGTCCCACCCGCAACCCGTATTACGATATAACAAGTATTTCTACTGAATATCAACTTCCGTTATACGTATATACATACACATACATATATTCATATCCATATGTGAATATATACATATTTTTATCGGTAAAGGAATGCAATGGCAAAAGCTGTCAAAAATGTTGCAAATGAATTAAAAATATTAAGAACGCAAATTACAATGCCTCTCGCCCACTCTCTACCTCTCACGCTCCCTCTCTCTCTTTCTCTGTCTCTATGTGTCTCTATATGAAAATTGAATTTTAAGCAAGATGATTGAATTTTCTATTAATAACACTTTTTTTTTTTTGACCTTCAGCAGCTGTGAAATTTATTCAAAAATGTTTCTAGCGAAGGTGTTCTTGAGGCGCAAATATATAAACATAATAAATAACACACACACGAATCGATCTCTGTATATGTATATATTTATTTGTAGATGTGTGTATGTTTGGGTAGAGTATATATCTATATCTATGGCCTTTTGAAGAGCTCGATTTTTTCCCTTTTTATTCTCGAGTGTGTTTTAGGCAATTCTATTTGCTGATAAAGTATATCAGCAGAACACGTCGATAATAGTGACTAAAATATATACATACATATGCATGGTCTATATTTATATGTAAGTGCGTAAATACACACCCAGTTACACGCACATACACACAACACTTTATACAAATGTTAAAAGAAAATAAATACTTGGAATATTTATATGCATTTACATAATATACTCTTTTTCGTATACATATAGATGTATGTATGTGTATGTACATATATATTTGTGCATGTTTATGATTTTTAAGCAGGTCAATGACAAATTCTCCATATGACTGTATAAGAACATAAATATATATATACAAACTCTCATATATTTATAATACTTTCGGCATAAAAGAAAATATATGAATATATGGATTTCGTCGAATAATAAATACCCTTTACTGAGACTAGAGACTTCAAATTTGGAATATGTGCTTTTCGCTATTCTCGTTCTATATAGTATTCAGTTTTTGATGATACAGGAAATAACTTTAAGGGCTTGATATTGTATATATCATGCTTGATTATTAGTATATACTATATTATATACTAAGTGGTATATGCTATATAGTATAGTCAGGTATATAACAGTTCAATGTGAAATCTTGTTGGGAACTTAGTAAACAGCATAATTGATGATTAGCTCAAAAACTTTATATATATGATCGATGACTCCTATTGAAAATACATACATTTATGCTATTAGTCATATTTAGTGTAGTCCACTAGCTCGAAATTATTATTATAATTATTTCTCGATGAAAGAGATTAAGAGGAGCCACATGTATTTCCTATATATCTGAAACTGTCTTTTGCTTCACATGTTACACATGCAGTATGGTAGCTAAGGTAGCCTTTGTTAGTGCAATCAAAGCGCATATTATAATTTAACGAGCGAGTTGACATTTTCTTTAGCTTCTTTCTGTTTTTTTACTGTTTTGCTGTTTCTCAAGTTTCGAGTTTTTCACTGATTAAAAACGAAAGCTCTGCCACATTTATGAGAGTTAAGACGGCGAGGGCCGAGTAGAGCGTATACATAGGTTATATCTGGCCCAACCCTAAAGACCCAAAAGAGTTGCGAATCGGCTGTTAGGAGTGAAGTTTTTTCTTTCATTTTGTGTATTCTCTATGTGGCCATAATTCACGTGTTGTCAGCCGCCGATTCGTTATTTCAGCATTATGATGTCATATTATAAAGCAGCGCCTCGCAGCGCAGCTGCCTACAGCCCGATTGTTGTAATACCCCATGAGTGCGAGCAATAACAGGGTAGCATTAGAGTGTGTGTGATAAGTAGCAATAGTTCTTGCCTATATATATATATTCTTATTCAGTATCACCAGCGATGGCTAAGCAGTTTTGTCAGCCTATCTCTATCTCTTTCTACTCAATTACGTTTTGCTACTAACCTGATTAAGCGATTAAGATCGATGTAAAACTTTCGCATGGCCTTGCCTGCTTTAGCAACATGAGTGAATATAGTTTGGTATGCAAATTATTCGCTTGTTGCCAATATTTCTCTATAATATGGAAATCAAAGTCTTTTGATTACTTTTTATAGCCTGAACTGATTGATATTTGAATTAGAGCTATAAAGATTTGATTAAAATGTGTGTTAACTGGCTGAAGAAGATGGTATATACGTATGTACATATGTATGAGTTATTTCTGGCAAATAATCAATAGCTCTTTTTCTATTGATATCAGTTCGATTGCAATCCATATTATGTCTGAGTTAATGGAGCATATTTGCTATACTCCTCATAGGGTAACAGCTAGTCGATCATTTGTCACTTACTGCCGCTTGTTTTATTCACTTTAGTTGCTAATTAACTTTTGATAATTGAACACGTTTCGCTGTTTCGTGGCAGGTCAGGTAGAAAGTGACGTGGGGAAAGTATTCTAAATGAGTTTTTATATTTCCCATACATATATACTTTGTTTTSTTTTAATCATATTTTGTTATCTCTGTCTCTCTCACTCTTTTCCCTCTGTTTATGCAACATTTGCCACACAAAACAAATGACAACAAAGCTGAAAATGATATTTGTTTTCGTCGGGTTAAGTCACAGTTAAACGGAGCTGCTTATTGATTGCCGTTTGCTCCACGTAATATGCAAATTTATTGAACAAATCGAGGTTTTGACACGGCTCGCAGCTAAGCGAAAACTTGATAACAGAGGCGTCGGTTGGGGCAGGGTTTTGCGATGTATGATGGGAGATTTGTCTATATTTAATAATAGCTGATTGTGTAATCAAATACGCTTAACATGATAGTGCTTACAGATCATTTACATGGTTTACTTATGTTAACATGCTGTCAACTGTTAAATAGTAACAGAATGTGTTATTGTAACTCTTGAATAAACAAATATTAACAGAGATTTAAAAGGGTTTATCTGGAAGTGTTATCTTATCAAAATACGCTGTTCTGTTATAAATATAAAAATATAAAAATTGATTTAGGTTCTGAGTTAGACTTTATTGCCTGAAGGCTACAGAGCTTGTGCATAAAGTTCTTATGTCAATAATATTCCTTATGGCTTTCATTTCAAAAACTTTTGAGTACTTAGAACCTAGTGTCAAAACGATTCGATGATGTTTCATAATAAAGGGAATAGGCCTCCGTACCCCTGCCTAAAACAGACGACGCAACAAACAACTCTTAAAGACGCTGACGAAAAAACACAACTAACAAGCTCTATCTATTCATCTTATTTTTCACAGGTAAAAGAAAGCAAAACAAAACCAAGAAAAACAACAAAATTAACAACAAATCCGACTCAAGCCTCAAGTGAACTGCCCAAAGAAATACAAAAACCCAGAGAGTGAAGCAGAGTTACTCACATAACGGTAATTCCAAGGGACGCAACGAAGCAGAGGCGGGCATATAAAGAAGAAGAAGAAGCAACAGAAGAAGATGTCATTTCGTGTTGTGCGCAGCTCAAAATTTCGTCACGTCTATGGACAGTCATTAAAACGGGAACAATGCTACGATAATATACGCGTATCCAAATCCAGTTGGGACTCCACATTCTGTGCGGTAAATCCAAAGTTTTTGGCCATCATTGTGGAGTCAGCAGGTGGCGGAGCCTTCATCGTATTGCCACACAATAAAGTGAGTATATCTGACAACTGAGACCACTAAGATACCCTAGAAAAACTGAATACCCATGAGGATAGCTATTAAAAGCAAAGGATTAGACTAGATAGAAACCAGAAAATGAAAAAGTTGATTTAACTTTGAGTAAAAACTTAATTAGTAGATAAGCAACAACTTTTTTGACTGCCCTCGTACATCTGGAAAGTCTATATGTAAGTCTCTGTAGTAAACTTGTTGAAGTTCTCCTCTGATATGCCTCTTTAAGATAGATTTGCATTTGGCCTCAGTTTGATAGCTCTTAGACCATACCCTTCTATACAATTCTCAAACTCTTTGAACTTATCTATACTATGGTATTACTTAGTCATATACCCTTGCTGAAATGCCTGTTAAAGTTCTGTTCTATTCAAAGTCTCTCGCAGTTGGTTAGTCAGCAACGTTAACTTTTCTGACTACCCTCGCATATACATACATAGGCCATTTGTAGATCTAGAAAGAGTGTGTCATTATAAAGCTATTTATATAGACACAATGGAACCTCTATTTATAGGGTATTTGGTGGTTGCCATTTGTGGTATTGTTGCCATGCTAGGAAGTGACGTCGATGAGAGGCTATTTTCTGTATATGAATATACCCTGTAGCTGTGAGTTAACGAAAAGCTTATAGAGATTCGTGCATTAATATAATTCGAGCTAAAACATGGATTGAAGAAATTGAGGCAGAAGCAAGTCGTTTTTTTGCTACACTAGTTCTTAGTCTTGAATCATATTTGTTGCTCAGTTATTCAGCTTTTTAATCAGGCATCGACAGCTGTTTAGCGCATGAACCAGCTGCGCAAATCAAGTGCAATTTATGGTTCATTAGTAGTTAAAAACAAAATTAATCGCTGCATAATCTCTGTTTTAGTGAGAGGAATGTACAATAAGTTGACTAGTGCTGATAAGCAGCAAACATATATCAGATAGGCCGGCTCTTGATCTATTCTTCATCCTTTCATTCTGCCGCCTGTAGGATATCTTCTAGTCAATCAGTCCTCAACTTTGCCAATTGTCTTTAGCCTTTTGTCGTCTCGTCATGTCTCATGCTTTATAAATAAAGCTAGAGCCTAGCATTATGAATTCTAGGCAAGCAAACCTCAACCCAACTCTTAAGAGAACTCTCACTCGCTCGCTCTCTCTGTCTCCCGCTCTCCCTCTCAATTTCTCTGCAGTTTTCTTGGCTGGCTGCCAACATGACACATCAAATTGTCTAAATTTATAAAAATAAATTAAAAATTGCAAAAATATATATATACAGATATTGAATATATAGCATATAGTCTCAGCCCCTATTTAGCTATATATATAAATGTATGTATATATATCGTGAGTGAGAAGTTATTGAAAAACTGCAAATTCGAAAAGTGTATTAAACGAGCATCCGCTCAGCTGTCTTCGCCTTCGCCGTTTGTGTGGGCGTTTGCCTTAGCAACGCGTCTGATTTTTGGCCTGGTCAATTCTAATTGGGCCCAAATTTGTATGCAAAACGCGTTCCATACGAAAGTTTATTTTTTTTCTTCATGCAGCAGCAGCTGCTGCGGTAGCCGCCGCTTTCACACGCTCTAAATTTGAATATTTTATGGATTTGGCTGACCTTAAATTCAATTTTTGGAGCGTGCATTAAATGGACACGATTAGGTGGATGGATGGATGGATGGAAGAGTAGGACTTGCAATTGGAGGCAGAGGTGGAGACATATAGAGAGAAAGATCGAAATTTTGAGAATTCTTTAAAAGTCATATATTTTATTGTAATCAAGTTTATTAAAAAAAAAAAACAACCATTTTAGTCTTAAAGTTATCGATTATTAAAAACCTTATCGAATATCAGTTATAAAGCTACATCTCCTACATCTCCTAGATTCATGTGAAGTTTATAGAACTACGATTATTGTTATATCCTATACCTTTTCCTTTGCGAACAGAGAGAAAAAGTAATCAGGTCACATATACATATTTAATTACACTTATATAAAGCCATATTTCAGATGGCCATAATGAAAAATGCCAGCAAACATGATAATATAAGTACGAAATTCACAATAACACGCTTTCCTACATCTAGAGCATCCATAAGATTAACTCTGCACCCGCATATGTATCCGCATGCAGCGCACAGTTTTATTGGATCTGCATATTTATACTTTGGACGAATTACGTGACATTTTCTATCAACACTACCAGAGCATAACACATCCGTTAGTTTACCTAAAATGCCGCAATTTCCAGAATCAGGCGTTATACGAAATGTGCAAGAGATGCGAAATTACCTTTTATTTTCATACCGGGACTCAGGCACGCATCGATTCTAGGGTCCGTAATTTCTCCAGGTTCCTTCCAATCTATTTTTAGGAAATCATTCTTGTTGCTAAACATAAAAGTATCGTTTACTCTACACTTTTCTAAGATCTCACATTCCAGACATATATTTTGGCCATTTCCATCTGTAAAGTTTAGTTTCGAGTCATTTGGCCCAGATGTAATCATAAATTTACTGTGCTTTACTTTTTCTAAATGGATGCTTACATGAAGTTAAATAAAGAATTGAAAAGCCAAAATAAGTAATCACAACTTTAAATTTTTCCATTTTCGAATTTGACTATAAAACATAAGAGACGTAAGAATGAAAAAGTTCTACGAATCGAATTCGATAATTTTCTATGTATTAGGAAACAGATTGCTTTGGTTTTTATACCCTGAACCCATTGAAAATGGGAAATCAGGGTATAATGGTTTTGTTAAAAGTATGTGACAGGCAGAAGGAGGCGTGGCAAATCCAAAAAAGGATATATATTCTTGATCAGGGCGACGAGCTGAATCGATTTATCCCTGTCCGTCTGTCTGTCCGTCCGTCCGTATGTATGAGCGCGTCGATCTCAGAAGATATAAGAGCTAGAGACCTGAAAACTTTTTTCCTTGGTGCGTGTAGATCAAGTTTTTCTCTAAATATCGAAAACTATTCCCGATATTTTATTATCGATTAAAACCCTTATCGAAAGCTAGTTATTTCATTTTATCTCCTACACCTTTAGAGCTACAGTCTCCAAACTTTAAATATAGACCTATGTGTTTTATATAATTTCGATTTTTGTTGTAATTTAGCCCCAACCCCTATATCCACCCCCTCACCCTCACCTTTGTAAAAGACGTATTTCAAATACTAGAGAGTTGTGCTTCGGCATATACACGCATTTCAATGTTATGATCACGACCTACAAGTTTCATGGAGATCGTATATCCACAAATAGTAACTTTACCACATATATTTTATTGTATATATTGAAAGCCATATTTCAGTTGGTCAAAATGAAAAACGCTAGTAAACATGATAATATAAGTATGAAATTAACAACAACACCTTTTCCTACACCTAGTGATTGCAGTAGATTTCCTGTACAACCACATATGAACCCGCATTGGGCGCATAGTTGGTTTGTAGGTGCGTTTTTATTTTCTGGGCGAATTGCGTGACACTTGTGATCAGAACTAGTAGAGCATACCAAATCCGTTAGTTGACCTAAAATACCGTATTTTTCAGAATCAGACAAATTATACGAGATGTGAAATAGATGCAACATTACCTTTTATTATGTAATTGGGCACCATGCAATTATCGATTTTTGGATCTGACACATCTTGAGGTCCCCTTAATACTACTTTATCATCATCATCTTCGTGATTATACAATAAAGAGTCGTTTATTGTACACTTTTCTAAGTTCTCACATTTCAGACATATATTTTGGCCATTTACACCTGTAAGATTTAGTTTTGAGTCATTTGCCACAGATCTAAACATAAATTTATTGTGCTTGATGACTTCTATATGGATGCTTACATGAAGTTAAATATGGAATCGAAAAGCCCAAACAAAAAATCACAATTTTAAATTTTTCCATTTTCAAATTTGACTATAAAACATAAGACACTTAAGAAAGTAAAAAAATATTGCTTTGTATTTGGAAACAGCTTGCTAGGTTTATTAAAATATTATATCAAATCCCCGTTAGATACACCCATTCACCTAAGTTCTTTATAGGTACGTACATATATAGATCGAGCAGACTAAGTTTGTAAAAATTGTAGTTTTGGTGTTATCGATTCTCAATCTACAAAGAACTATTAATTAAACAACTAAGTTTCCATTATATCCAGATTAAGCAGAAAATAAGCGAAGATTTATTGAATTAACACTAAGAAGAATGAATTAAAGTCTATAATATATATATATATTAAACACACAATTTAGTACCATACAAATTCTAATATAAAATCCATTTTAGTCTCAATTGAAGAATTTGTGCATTGAATTGCTTGAAACTACTTTCATCAGAGTCTTAAATTGATCAGAGTTAACTATATCTTAATCTTTTATATCTCTCTTTCTTAGGTCGGGCGCATTGCAGCGGATCATCCGCTGGTGGGCGGTCACAAGGGTCCAGTGCTGGACATCGCTTGGTGTCCGCATAACGACAATGTGATTGCCTCTGGCTCGGAGGATTGTGTGGTGAAGGTGTGGCAGATACCAGATGGCGGACTATCGCGTACACTCACCGAACCCGTTGTGGATCTGGTGTTCCATCAGCGACGCGTCGGTCTAGTCCTGTGGCATCCGTCAGCGCTCAATGTGCTGCTCACAGCGGGCTCCGATAACCAGGTAGAGTTCGAGTCGGAGGTATCCAAGATCTGGATTAACATACTTACATCTTGTCTCGATTAGGTCGTCATCTGGAACGTGGGCACTGGCGAAATTCTGGTGCACATTGACTCCCATCCGGACATCGTTTATAGCGCCTGCTTCAACTGGGACGGCTCCAAGCTGGTCACCACCTGCAAGGATAAAAAGATTCGCATCTATGATCCACGAAGCGGCGAATTGGAAAGCGAAGCGATGTGCCACGAGGGCTCGAAGGCGACTCGCGCGATCTTCTTGCGTCACGGCTTGATCTTCACGACCGGCTTCAATCGCAGCTCGGAGCGACAGTACTCGCTACGTGCCCCGGACGCGTTGAACGAACCGATTGTCATGGTCGAACTGGATACATCGAACGGTGTGATGTTCCCTCTGTACGATGCGGACACAAATTTGATCTATCTGTGCGGCAAAGGAGACTCTGTGATACGTTATTTCGAGGCAAGGCTTTGATCATCAGCTTCATTTGTTCTCTGTTTAATTTGGGCGTTTGCTTTAGGTCACGCCGGAGCCGCCGTTTGTGCACTATATAAACACATTTCAAACGCCCGATCCGCAGCGTGGCATTGGACTGATGCCGAAGCGTGGCTGTGATGTAACCACCTGTGAAATAGCCAAATTCTACAGGCTGAACAACAATGGTCTCTGCCAGGTGATATCGATGACAGTGCCACGCAAATCAGATCTCTTCCAGGAGGATCTCTATCCGGACACATTAGCGGAAGATGCGGCCATCACGGCCGAGGAATGGATTGCGGGCAAAGACGCAGATCCGCTAACCTTCTCGCTAAAAGTAAGTGGCGTCAACGCCATAGATTATCGCTCCTGGCTATTAGGATAACAGCGTTGCCCTTGCAAGCTATGGCAGCTGCTGTTCATAGAAGAGAGAGCGTAAAGAGATCTGTTGTAGATATGTTACAGAATTTTCATATATTGTAGTATATAAGAAATGTCCTTATGTTTGCGCTTGGCTAATATTTCGTGTTTTGCTTGCTGCTCGTTTCGTCTCGTCTGCTGGCGCCATCATCATCAGTGATAATCAGTGCTGGCAATTTAGCTGTTTGCCCTGAACAGATCTAGCCTTTTATTTTTGGCTATTTTTACCCGCTTCTTGTTGCGGCCGATCTGTTGTGCTCTTGAGACAGCACTGTCCAATACACAAACACACACACATACGAAGAGAGCAAATAGTTAAAGAGAGCTTAAAGCATTATAACAGTATAACTGTATAAGCGAAACAGTAATGAATGTTAATGCAGCCTGTCTGCTCGCTTACACACACATGCTCACGCATACCTCGCCTCACTCACACAGACACACGCTTACGCTCCTAACACGCACGCTGCGTGGCGCTTGTTGTTGTGTTCTTTGTTCTTTGTTGTAAGCCCATCAATCTGAACAGCTAACCTAATAAACCTAATCAGGATCGCGTCTCCATTGTACAGGGTGGCTATGTCTCCTCCGGCAACACGACGCTCTCTGTGAGCAAGAAGGCCAACATATTGAACAAGGCGTCCGCATCGAGAGGCGGCGGAGGCGGTCCGCTCTCTGGAGGCAATCATTCATCCGCGAATAACAATGATTCGAATGATGCCAATCAAAGTGCAGCGATATTCTCGGTAAGTAATGCAAAGATATACCTGTATAGCTGATGCTAATTAAATTTTCTTACTGCAGGAAAAGGATCATCGCAATATTTTAGATGAGATTCGCAAGCTGAAGGCGATTATTGTGAAGCAAGAGAATCGTATTAGAGCCTTGGAGGCGAAGGTCAATGCAGCTGCTGGCGATGAGACGGATGCACGGAATAGCAATAAAAATGGCAGCGGAGCAGCGGCGGCAGTGGAAAGCAGCAGCAGCAGCCAACCAGCGGCCAGCGAAAGTGCCAATGACCACAGCACAGCAAAGGATAATGCGCATGAAGATGACTAAAAAGAAGAGAGAGAGAGAGAGAGAGAGAGAGCGAGAGCAAAAGCAGTTGGCACAAAGAGCGGAAGTAAGAGAGGGGAACGAAGCAGACAGAAAACAGAGCCAAGCCGAGCAGAGAAATCGAGATAGGAAGCACACAGAGTTGTGTTGGAATGAAGTGGAATGATGATGATTATTATTTGTACACGCTCAAGTGGAGAGGAAGAAAGAGAGCGCGAGAGTTGTCTTTCGTCTATGATTATGATTTTCAATTATTTATTTTATATAATTTTAATGTTAGGTCTTTGTACGAGCTAAATGGAAGAAGCAAAGGAATACATACAGAAAACACACAGAAAATCCTGCCAAAAAATTAAAAAGAAAACAATATATTGTTAACCTGACTAGCTGCAAAAGATCGTAACGAAGCATTAAGTCGAGCTGTGTTTTTCGTATGTGAAATTGTTGTAAATTTAACAAAACAAACAAAAAAACAAAAAAAAAGAAAGAAAAGAAAAGAATCAAAGTATAGACTAAATTGCAATCATTTAAAAAGTAATGCTATTTCCTACCAATTTACACACAAATTACAAACTTTTCTATACATATACATATAAATATTTATATATATATACATACATATATACATACATATAACTGATTACCCCCTATTGAGGCAATATATATATATATATCCATGACAATAGCTTTTATAACAATTAGGCATCCGCGAAAAYTTGTCCGCCGCTTTCATTAAACATTAAACACAAAAACTTTTCTCGTTCTAACTAATAATAAGTTGTATTTTGTAATAATAAAAGAAGGAAAACCAACGAAACTATTTTCAAAATATTGAAGATTGTGCAACAATCAAAGAAAACAACAAATAATAATAAATGATAATGTTAAAGTGCTGACTATAAACGAATCGCTGTATAAATAATTTAAAGTTTGATACGAAATAAATAAAATCAAAGATGAGATTTCGAAATTTTTGAATTAATGGCAGTTCAGCACTCTGCTTAGTGGCAATACGGTCAGACTGTATAGGGCTGCTGAAACGATATATTGTACTAAAATATCGATAATATAGACGTACATATCACAGTCTTGAACCGAAGCAACCGTTGCCAGCAGAGAAACAAAGTGATTGATAACATAAAAGTCAAAATTGATAAAGAAATGAAAAATTTTTCATTATTAAAATTCCCATTATAAAATTGTTGTCTCAATATGTTGACTTATTTAAATGAGTTAAAATACGAGGAACTGCCCAATTGTTTTCAGATTATATCGTGCATATTCGAAAATCATTTATTAAAGTGTTAAATTTTTTCAGTTAGCTTCAATACCTAATACTCTTTGAGTCACCCTCGTAAATGCCATTCAGCTTAAAAGCCCACATTTTCTCAACTGCTAAAGTTCATCAAGTTCATTTATCGATACATCGATACATTTCGTTAAACACTACAAAAGCCCAACATCGGCTGCTGAACGGTTCATTCGTGTTTTCTTCGTCGTTCGGTTAAACACGTAGCAGAGAAGTGCGCCGTGAGAGTCAAAGCCACAAATAAAAAATTTTGCACGCGCATTCATATAGTAGAAAAAAGAATAATCTGTCATTATTTAATCGCCTTCACGTGTATTTTGCAATAGTGAAATAATAATATAAGCAGTCTAATTGTGGCAAGCAAGAGAAATGCAAACGGCGTTACATAAGCAAATGTTCAGCATTTGCAAATGAATATTTACTAAGCATTAAATGAAAACGAAGCAGACGAAAAGGCGTCCGTCAAACTTCCCAGTTTTCGGCTGAATATTTCATCAGCCATATAGACAATTTATGTGCTAAGAGCTGCAGAGTAACTGTATTGAAAAGCGAAAATACTTGAACTGAACAACCCAAAGAGAGAGGGAAAATATGTGCTCGGCAACAAAACAAAGGCAGAAATGTTTAAGTATACGAAGCAACAGCAACAACAACATTAGCAGCAGCAGCAGCGACAGCACCAGCACCAGCAGCAGACAAAATATATCGGCGCTTAGCAACAAGACAAATTCACTGCGAATTGCGGCCATGTGTAACGAGTTTCTCTGATTCGCTGTAGATCAAAGACGCAGCTATAAGCCAAAGATTGTAAATACAATACGTATACACATACACATACATATATAGATACATATATAAATATATAAAGAGTAAAAGAGCAAGCTAATTGCTTATAGTATCAAAAGTAACAGTACAACAAAGTCAAATCGCGCAATCGAAAATGAACGCAAATACAGCGCCCAGCAGCCCTGGCAAATTCAATGTGTTTGCCCACGTCAAATACGAGCATCTGGTTGCCGGCGTCTCGGGCGGCGTTGCATCCACGCTCATCCTGCACCCACTGGATCTCATTAAAATACGCTTTGCTGGTGAGTACAACGAATCGATCATTCCGTCTACGCGAGATACGAGCGTCTAGCACGTGACCGTAAACTATAACTGTAGATTTGCGTCTTCCTCTTTCAATGCCTTGAATTCATTCAGTGTTGCGCAGTTTGTTTGTTGTGTTTGTTTGTTTTAAGCTGTCTAGCTGCAAAGACAGATTTTCTCTTGCGCATGCCAGAGTGTTTTCTAGCAGATTTATATATGCGTGTAAAAGTTTCCATAGTAATGTAAATTTAACTTTTATTTGTATACAGAATTTGTCTGATAAACCTGCATTATTTCTGTTAGCTATCTGTCGTAATGCTATTATTATGTAGCCTATTTTATTTACGTCTAATTTAGCCTTTTTTCTAGTTAACTAGTTCAGCACTGCATGCGATTGCATTTCTTCTTCTCTCTCTCTCTCTTTCCGGCTTATCAACTGTTTGTAGTTGCAGTTGAAAATTTCCACGAGCTCCTCGAGCAAGCGTTAAATTATTCTGGAAATGTTGTAATAGAAGCAAATAAACAAGCGGCTGCACGTGGAGCTTAGAAAAACCTATTAATATGTAAATATATAAATAAACACTTGCCTGTTGATTGCGTTCCCATTCGACAGCAATTTATTGACGTCTTGACATTTGCGAAAACAAAGTCCTCAGTTTTCTCTTTTTTTTTTTCGCTGACCGATTATGCTACATTTAGTTGAGTTATCAGCGGGAATGTTAGGCGCAATCTACGCACGTACTAGAACAAGCTAGAAGCACACGCCCCCTTGCAAAATCTTTGTTGGCATTTATTGGCCTCAATAATACAGTGAAGACTACCTTGACCGAAAAGTGTATTTGTATTTAAGAAAGTTTCGTATGGTGAACTCTTACTGTACTTTGAACGGCATGAGTCAGCATTCAGCTATTATGTTAGTACACGTAATAAAAGCTCTTTTCATAGCTGTCCTCGTATAGAGTACATTGTTATTTCCGTATTTTGCTTGATTTTGTTCAATAATAAGACATAACAATAACAACGGCAACAGGTTTGTGTTGTTGTTATTGTATTTTTATTGTTTTCACATTTATTAACTTTGTTTTGCAGTCGCTAAACTTTTCACTTAACCTGTTTAATATTACCAATCAGATTGGTAAATACATTTTTGCAAGTGTTATTTAAATACGTTAACAGTAGCAACAAATTAAGTTGTTTATGCGAAAAACGCTCAAGCGCTCAACAATCTAGCAGAAAAGTAAACGAAGAATCAGATCGTATGACTCCATCTTATGAAAACATATGCTGAGGCCATCTATGGAGAAAAATTTGCAACACTCACGCTCGCTCATCAGTGGATTCAATATAAGTTTATACATGCACACATACATACATGCGACTGTATGACGCACCTAGCGGGGAAAAACGAAGCCAAACGTCAGCGAATGGCGTAAACTTGTTTATCTTCATTATACCGTTTGCTGAAGCAACAGCTGATGGGTATACCATGGTGCCATAAAGCCATAGCGAATGCTAGATAGGATGAGAGGTTGGCAACTGCGATAGATTACATTTCCAAAAATAAACAGTAATATATTATTTATCTATGTAGTTATGCAAATTTCGCACGCTAAAATATCTAGCACAGCATGTGCTGCTGCTTACAGGGTAGCACACAGTCGACCTTTGCACTTCTGCCTCTTGCGTATTCGCTTGTTTATGGCTGCCGTTCAGCGTCATCACGTGACCAACATGTTGACTGTACGATTTGTTAACGGCATACATCTACATTAATATATGAGTGTGTGTGTGTGTGTGTCTGTGTGTATAGGCAGAAGCAACTGGTTAAGTCAACTCTAAATGTTGTTACCAAGTGCGCAGTTTTGTCAGCGCTGCAAAACAAGCGAAATTCGTGTGCTCGATCAGAGTTCAAGTATCAGCTGTTTTTATTTGTTTTATCAGTTTATGCATGCATATTAATTTTTGATTTCCCTTTCCTGTGCCTTTCGAATCAGGATATTTCGTGTGTACGCGTCTGCCTCTGTTCGTTCTTTTGCTTCCACGCCAAAGTCAACCGCAAGTCAAACTAGCGAAGACAGCGCCATCTATTAATAGAATCTGTCGACAAGAGACGAGCCCCCAAAACGTCGCTGTTGTCAGGGCAGATCGAGGCGTCAGCGCTTCTTATTAGCAGATTGTTATAAACTTTTGTTTTCTTTTTCTGTGTCCTATACGCGCACAAGTATATGTAATCATATATACATATATATTTATATATTTAAATAATTATAGACTCATCGAAAGTCATGCTATAGCAACAGCCAGCCTATATAGCAACCACATTCACCATTTTTCCAATTGGACTCGTTATCACATCCGTTGCAAACAATTAGCGCTATCTCTGTTGGCCGCGAAAACAACAAGTTGTTGTTGAGGTTGTTATTGTCTGCTATTGTTGTTGTTGTCGTTGTTGCAGCCGGCCATTAGGCAGTGCCCAAAAATCAACAACAAGAACAATAATAGCTTCAGTTGGTTGTACAGTCAGCTAAAAAGCATTGCCAAAAGACTGAACAGCTGCGAGGAAATTTCTGCCTAGTTGATTGACTGATTGAGCATTGCTCTATGAATCACTCAACCTCAGCATTTCTTGGCTAGTTGATTGACCGATTGAAAGTATCTATACACTTTACT